TTTAAAAACTACTAAGAAGTTAAAATGTGGTGGGTAGGCGCTATTGGAATCATTTCACTAATTCAAAAATCAAAATAGGGCTCTAATGAGGGAACGGTCGAAAATTCAAAAACGTTCAAAAACGAAGCGGGCTATATTTGTTTTTTCTTTTTTGCTGAAAATAACTCACTTTCTCTCTCTAAACTTTTTTGAAATTTGAAAACAGCTCTCAGCGCTCCATTTATACCCGCCCCCTCACTCTTTCTTTCACCTCTCTATCTTTTTCTCTCTCTTGCATAAGCAGTAGGTTAAATCTGAGCATCTAACTCTTCATTGGAGAAGGCCTAAAAAACTCCATTTAATTATTCATTGTAAGCTTCTCTTAATTTTCTGTCTATTATTTATCAGTTTTATCAATGCGGTCATTCTAACATAGATTTCAACTTCTTGTTTTTTCATGAGCATACATTTGATTTGCTGTTAAATAATCTGATTAATTTCGTATCAATTGTTCATTATCGATGCATTTCTTTACACACTTAAGTTCATCCTTAGTTTCTGCTCCTAGTTTGTGTGCTCGCCCTCCACCACTTCTAACCCCAAGCTGGCATTGGCAGATGAAGCCTTGGACAGTGGATTTAGGTGCATTCATAGATTCATTGTCTTTAACATATAGTTGAATATTGATATATATTCTATGCTCAATGTAAGATCAATTGGTGCATTGGTCTAGTTTGAACTTAGAAGTACAAATTAAGACACTGACATGGGTTGATAGAATAATAATATAATTGTCATTGTAGCATATGTTAATGTTAAGTTTCATCAAACAGTTTAATAATCAAGCTGTGGCTAGTGTTGTAGTTGTGCTCCAATGTGGTCGTTTCTCCATAATCATGGATTTGTTTAAGCACATGTCTATTTGAATTCTTATTCATTCCACTTAGGCCCGAGTAGTTTGTATAGAATGAATTTCAAGATCTTTCGAATCCTTGTTAGATCTTTCTTCTGGCTTACACATTGATTCAGCTAAAAATGCTTACTTTTTTTACCTTATGAGCTTCATTTATGTACATATCTATTTATTTTCTTCCCCTCACACCTTATCTACTATTGTGTGTTAGCTAATGATGATTACGTTTCTTTGTTGTTTCTGTTCAAGCATTTTTTACAGATGAATCTAAGGCTCATATAATTATAGATGATTAAGAATTTGATGTTCCTTACTCTTTGGTTATGATTTGTAATTGACCATTACCTGTTTGATATTTGTACCCAGAATAATGGACTCTTTGCCTGATGCCATTGTCCAGTGCATCCTATCCAACATAACCAATGCAAAAGATGTGGCTTCTTCTTCTTGTGTATCAAAGAGGTGGAAGGAATCAATTCCGTATCTCAATAGGCTCGTCTTCACTCGTAATGTTTTTGACAACCTTAAGAAGTACTCTCCTGATGACATTGTTGGGCACATGGTTTCATCAATTATTCGATTGGAAGAACTTGTTGTATACTGCCCCTTTACTGGTTCTGGCCTAGCATCGTGGCTTTCATTGGCAGGACCTTCTCTACGGAGGCTTGAGCTAAAGATGGACGACAACCTCATCGAGCAGAACCTGGGCTCCAGGAATCCCTCAAAGTTGGACTGTATCACAGCAGCAATGAATTTGGAATCTTTGAAACTTTGGGGGGTGAATATGACACATTGCCCCAAATGGGACACTTTCTATAGGCTTAGAGATCTACAAATAGTTGGCACGGTAACAGATGACTCCTCCCTCTCCGCTGCATTAAGGGCTTGCCCCAATTTGAGTAACCTGTTGCTCCTTGGTTGTGAGGGACTGAAATATGTTTCTATTGAGCTCCCTCAGCTGGAGGTGTGCAACCTTGATTTCAATGGCTTAGGTAACTGCTCCCTTTATCTCAATTGTCCAAAGATTCAGCATCTTGAAGTGCAAGGCTGTAGTTGGATCAGAGTCCTTGAAACTCGGTTGCTCAGAAACCTTTCCATTTCCAACACTTCAGGTATTGAAAATTTCCATTTTTTGATACTCCACTATTTTTGTGCTTTACTTTCAAACAGTATCACAAACAACCAATCTTTTATTGTAGGACGGGTTAACGGTGTAGTTTTCGGGAAGCTTGTGGCACTTGAGTCATTGGAGATGAGAGGAGTTCAATGGTGTTGGCATGCCGTAAATGAAATGCTTCGATTGTCAGGTGAAGTCAAGCATCTCTTCATGAAGGTGGAATTCACTGGGGATTCTGATTCCCTTCAGCCATTTCCAGAGATCGACTTTGTTGATTTCTTTAACAGCCACCCCAAGCTAACAAAATTTGACATCCATGGTGCCATGTTTGCTGCTCTTTGCCAGAGAAACAGTTTGAAAAATGTGAGTCTACTGTTTCTCATTGCTCAACAGTTCAAATGGTGCACTTAGCCCTTTTGGACATAAGAATTTTTTCATTTTTTTCGAAATCAGTGTTTGGTTATAAAATTTACAATTTTCACATTTTTGAAATTTCACTCTGATCACTCACAAAATTTCAAAAACAACCCAAAATAATATTCTTGTCCAAATACAACACTAATTTTCAAATACCATTTTCACTTAATTTTTTTGTTTTGGAATTTTACAATTCTTATGTCCAAACGCCCATTTAATGTTTGTTTTAACTAGTCTATGACATTTGAAATCTTGGATGTTTGAAGGTGGATTACAGATTTATGATCCCTTGCCTTGAGGAGGTTGTAGTCACTGTGAGATCACCACTGAATGCTGAACAGAAAATGAGTACACTGGAGTCTTTAATCCAGTATGGAAAGAAGCTGAAGAAGATGAGAATAAAAATACTTCAGATGAAGAGCAGCCATAGCAGTACAGATGATTTTTTTGAGGAAATTTGCAGATTCACACGTATGAATCGCAGGATTGTTTCAATCGAATAATGATTGCAGATTTTCCCTTTCCCCCCTTTTCCTTGGGTTTCTTTTTATGAGAGGAGGGATCCTTCTTCTGTTGATTTGGATAGGAACATTCTTGGACCATTTCCTTGTAAGTTCCAGCAAGTTTGTACTTTGATTTATGTAGCTTACATTTTTTAACAAGACTAGAGGCTCAAACTGCCTTGCATTTTTAAACCAGACTAGAGATCATTGTTATGTACTTGGAAAAAATCATTGATGAGTTCCTTACTTCATATAAGGAAATGGGATGATTGCTTTTCTAGAAATTGAGATGCATAATTTTCAATTCTTGGCATGATATTTGTGAAATATTTGTGCCAATTACAGATGGGAAGTACTGATGGGTTTTCTTCAGCTTGAAAATTGTTCCACAGGCATTTTGCTAGTTAATTTGCACCTTATTTTTGTATGTCTTGTGTCCAGTTAAGCTAATTTTTTATTCCTCACTACTAAGATTGGGATAGGGATATCTTTTGGTTTGGTGTTCCCAAATCTCAAATGTTGCAAGCAAAATTATAAAATCCTCTATGTTCTTGAGAAGTTTAGCTCCAGTCAATCTTTATAGCAAAATCATAACCTATGCCACTAAGGGCTCATTTTATATTTGGCACAAGAAAACATAATCTCTGTAAAATTCTGGATTATTTAATATCTAATACAAATGTCTGATTACTATGTTTTCGCACAATTACTACCTTTGTAACTTAAGGAAAATTTGCATATTATTATGTGTAATATAATATGGAATAAGAATACACATACTGGTAATAAATTTTGAAGACTACCTAAATTGATAAAAATACCCTCAAAATTAACAATATGTTATTATAAAAAGGCACCTCACTTTACTATTTTTTTTTATTTAAAAAAAGACACCATTATATAATATATAGTAAGAACTCAAATAGTGATAATTCTTTAAATTTTGAATTAAAAAAGATGTAAAACTAAAACTTGTACATGTATATCATTAGTGAAACTGCTTATTGAGTCGACATCACAGTCTCTTATCTCTGCATAACGCTCACATGTATTGATTATTTGATTGCATAACAATTTACTCCATGTGTTATATAAAGCATCACAAGTTTGTCAACCAATCTGCCCCTAAATGAAATACTCAAAAGGTAATCCACTCTTTCATTTAATCAACAAGATTAACCTATTGAACAATTCAAGTTTAGCAGCTGTAGACGAGAGTAGGATTAAGACAAGTTCTTATTCTCTATAATCTTTTTAAGTCCTGAAGCATAGTATAGATGGACAAGAGCGAGCGAGAAACAAGCTCAATTGATACAAGCGTGCCATCAGAAACAGGAGATAACTAATAGCTACTTGAATATCAAGAAAGATTCAACTCTGAGCTATCACTTGAGGAAAAAATACAGTGTGTACTGCTACTCGAATAAACACATGCTTCAGCGAATGTACAACACAAATGATCAAGTGAAGAAGGGAATAACAAATGAAAGGGCAGGTAAGTAGTAGAAAGTAATTCAAGTGTACACTCAAAGCTAAGGCACGACACCTTTGCCTTCATTATCTGATACAATAAAAGCTAGATCCACTAATATCACATCAAAAAATTCTTTGTTTCATAAAAAGTGCCAAATGAACGCTAGTCCTACGATTTAATGTGCCATCCAGAATATGATTTCAACTAAAGAAAGTCTAGATTAGCTTCTTCTTTCGGAAATATCGCTTCAGATACAAAACTTGTAAAACTGAGGCCAAGATGCAGACTCCCAAGGATGCGATACTAAAGCTAGCCACCCGCGCATTAGTTGTTTCACTAACCGACCGCATCTCTGCTTCTCTGAAAGGACACAAGGAAGAAGGTAGAAAGGTGAAACAACAAGAGCAAGTAAACCACAAGCACTGCATCCATAAGCATATTAAAAGGTTACCTGCTCTTTAAGTAAATCAAATTTTCATGAATGGCCTCCACAGCTCCCTCAAGCTTTCTCAACTCAAGTTCAATACCCTACTAGATGCAGAAATTTGTGTAAAATTTCTAGAGCTTGCAGAAAAGATCTATTTCTTTATTTATCAGGAAAAGAAAATAATAGCCAATGTATAATCCTTTACGGAAGTATCAATTGCACAGGCAGAGATAACACCTATACAGCCCAAGCTTAAACAAGTTAAAAACACAAGCTTTGCTCAGAAATTTCTATTTCTATTAAGCTATAGCCATTTTAACTCGTTTGTAAAACATGCTTCAAATTCATAAAGTAAATCAAATTTTCATGAATGGCCTCCACAGCTCCCTCGAGCTTTCTCAACTCAAGTTCAATACCCTACTAGAGGCAGAAATTTGTGTAAAATTTCTATAGCTTCCAGAAAAGATCCATTTGTCTATTTATCAGGAAAAGAAAAGAATAGCCAATGTATAATCCTTTAGGGAAGTATCAATTGCACAGGCAGAGATAACACCTATACAGCCCAAGCTTAAACAAGTTAAAAACACAAGCTTTGCTCAGAAATTTCTATTTCTATTAAGCTATAGCCATTTTAACTCGTTTGTAAAACATGCTTCAAATTCATAAAGTAAATCAAATTTTCATGAATGGCCTCCACAGCTCCCTCGAGCTTTCTCAACTCAAGTTCAATACCCTACTAGAGGCAGAAATTTGTGTAAAATTTCTATAGCTTCCAGAAAAGATCCATTTGTCTATTTATCAGGAAAAGAAAAGAATAGCCAATGTATAATCCTTTACGGAAGTATCAATTGCACAGGCAGAGATAACACCTATACAGCCCAAGCTTAAACAAGTTAAAAACACAAGCTTTGCTCAGAAATTTCTATTTCTATTAAGCTATAGCCATTTTAACTCGTTTGTAAAACATGCTTCAAATTCATAAAGTTTAGTCCCCTTTTCTTCCTCAAAGGTTCGTACTTACTTCAAATGAGCATACTTTAGTTTCAGATAAATTATGTTACAAGCAAAGATCAGAAGCTGAAAGGGCAACAAAATCAGGTCCAACCTCTATCTTCTCCTTTCTGGCAACTGATTCCCAATCCTTGGCAGCAATTCCGGTTTTCCAGTCAAGGTTAACAGTTAAGCTCCCACCTCCTGGATTATGACCATCAACCCAAAAACATGCTAGATAGTTACCAGCCTCAGTTGTTGTGAAGGCAAACTGACCGTGTGTCATGTTCTCCTTGTGGTGAAGGTTGTTCCCAAATGGTGAGGTGACCTGCACAAGTAATAACATGCCATAAGATTCACTATATTAGCACAAATGAAGAAATATGACATCAGTAGAAAACATGTCAAGTGCATTTTCACAGATGTTCTAGCCCAACAAAGTAAAGAAACTTGAATCTCGAGAAAACACCTCAAAATTGAAAATACCTCCCCAATACGAGTTCATTTGTGTGTGTCTGAGCCTTCAGGGCACAAGCCCATGTGCTTTCATATCATCAATACTTAGTGTACAATCAGGAATATACAAACAAAATACACTACCCAACTAATGAGTTGATGCATTGTATAATTGGACATGTCTAGACATGTAGTAGTACAATAGAACAAGAAGGCGAGGCAAGAGAAAAACATAAACCACCAAACTAAGAATACGATAATCATATAGCCTTCAAGCTGCTCTGTGGAATCAAATGACAAAAAGGTGTGACGAAAGCTATTCAAATACAACCATCAATTTATTTATTATGGGAGAGCCGGGTAGTTTAAGGTGTGACAATTGATTTTTTGTGTGTGGATAAGGTGTGACTACTGAAATATTTGCAAGCTTACGAATCCATTTTTGATGTTTTATAATCCTTGTAAGAAGACAAAGGATTAGGAGTATTATTTTATGCATTCCTCTTGGTAATGATGGGTGACTTCATAGTTTTTGTGTAGTCTATATATTAATATACAAATATGTTACCTTCTCAAAAAAATAAAAATAAAAAATTTCAGGTCTGACAAGGAATCTCTCCAATATGCTACTACCAACACATCCACTCCCCCCCCCCACAACTTTCTTCATGCAAATACAACTTCTTCCTGCCTCCTCTTAATACATTCAAAACCATTTAAAACCTGCATAACCATGGCACAAACTAGCAGGAGAACAAGATATATGCTGTGTGGATTGTCTTTTGTCTTCTAAAGAAAGCTGAAAGCCTGAAAACTCAATCTGCCTATGGTATGGCTTTGGAAATTATCTGACAATTAACTTTTTTTTTTTTTTTTGTGATACGATAACTTTGACAATTTACTTCAGTACTCTATAAGCAGGTTTCCTATTCGATGGGCTAGAATAAGGATTTTACTCTGTATTAGTATCATTAAAGATGATGAACTTTTTATTTTTTATTTTTTCAAAGAAAATCAAGAATGTATCAGCATCAAACAAGTAAATTCATCACCTCAGATAGACTAACTAATCACATTCCTATCAATAACCTTTAGCGACTTGGTGCCCACCTCTCAAATAAACATGAATTACACTAAAGACTCCTGAACTTAGACAGCATATTTTTTTCTCTCCTTGGACTAGAATTTTGTAATATATAACAGTCAAATAAGCACGGTCAATTTTAATTGCTGTGAATTTTCACCCAAAAGTAGGTTAATGTAACGGATCCTTGGTAAAGAGCTATTCGTACATTATAGAGAAGTGGGGCATTTTAGTATAAATTTTCTAATTGTCTACTTCATAACCTACGAATATGTATGAATTAATTGTAACAAGATTCAAATTGAAACCGTAAGAAAATTACATGGTCAAGGTTGAGAGGAGTTTATGCAATTCAACCTCAACAAAGTAATTAGATGTCACTTGTCTCGCTTTTCCAACCACAAAGCAAACTCTAGAGCTAGGTTAAGCAAGGAGTCCATAGTGGCAGACTTGTTTTGTGTCATGGAGGAGCCTGCTTAAGAAATGTTGCAAAAATCTGGGGGGAGGGGGGAGGGGGCAAAGATGTGTTCTTAAACTCAATTTTCACAAAAATTAAAAGAAAAAATACTTTAAAAGTGAAAATTCAGGGAGCGACAGCCTTGTCTGCCCCCTAGCTCCGCCCTTGGAACCCATGATGACAATTGACAAATCGCCAATCTAAAAACCTTAAAGTTTGATGTAGAATCTAGAGCCTAAGTTGATATTATCACAATAACAGGTCTTCGCTTTGAAAACCTTTAAGCATGAACTATGTAGAATTTAGAGTCTAAGTTGATACTATCATGTGCTAGCTTATCACGTTGTACGGTAGGGTAACTAGCATATTCCTTATAAGACTGACTCTGGTGTCAAAGCATTATACTAAACATCTTGGGCATCTAATCTGGGCCAGAGACATTCTTCACAAAGTTTCGACACAAGGGACTTCCTTTTCCTTATTCACAGACTGAATAGAGTAGGTGCTTTGGATTCTTTACTGCTTAATCTACTAAAAACTAATAATTGCTCTTATTAAAGGTCCTTTACCCAAAAGATCATTCTCCACTGTTTCAGAAATGATAGTTTCCTTATAGTACCTTTATATTATTCTTCAACCAACAAAAACTTGAATGTATCAAAGCATACCTTATAAAGATCTATCACATATAGCACAACAGATGCCTAAAAAGGGCAGCCCGGTGCACAAGGCACCCACATTCACGCAGGATCCGGGGAAAGGCTGCACTTCAGGGGGTGTGATGTAGACAACCTACCTTAATGCAAGCATTAGTGGCTGCTTCCACGGCTCGAACCCGTGACCTATGGGTCACACGGCTCCGTTCACACAACAGATGCCTATGTTTCCATTATTCTCTCACATTAACTTAGTTAAGAGTAACTCATTCTAATTTAATAAATGCTCTGGAATAAAGAGTAAGATTGCTAAATCAGCAAAACAATCTTCTTGACAACTTGGCAAAGACCTAAAACATTATCCAAATCATTTTTTTTTGTGCAAACACTTGTTGGGTCTATGCATTATTTTTTTAATAAGTAAAAAACAATCCCATATGTAACACATAAATCAATGTTTTCCAGCTGATCTAAAAGTAAAAGGAGTCACGAAAATTAATCTGCTTAAACTTTACCCCAATTTATCCTAAAAAGAAGCTTATACACATAAGTCCTAACATATATCACAGGAAAACCACAGATTCACATAGACAAACAAGAACGAAACAATGGCTAATAAATGGGATTTAAGACAATTCCCCGAGTCGTCGAGCAATTTGACCCGATATTATACTAGTGGACTGTCACCCATACCAATTAATTAAATGAAACATTGTCCTCGTTACCTTGACGGAAATAGTGGGGATGGGATTCGAGTGATCATCGGAGATAGCAAAGTAATCAGCCAAAACGACGACGTTATTGTGAAGTTCTTCAGAAACACACTTTGTTCCACTCGCCGGCACAGTCAACCATATTGCTTCTCCCTTCCGCAATAAACAGACGAGCAGTGATAGTAACACCCACCCGAACATCATTCGCTTTACTTCTTTTTCAGAATTTTTGACTTCTCTCGGCTTATGTATGTGTCAATGCAAACCAGATTGTCGTAATTCGGTATGAATTATATGTGGGCATGTGATGTGTCTGATTGGCCCATTGGCTTTTATTTTTATTTAGGAGTAAAAAAAAACCATATTTATTTTGTGCCTCTATAAAATAATAAAATATATATTTTTAACCGTTTTCAACAATAATAGCTGATAAAATATAATATATATATATATATATATATATATATATATATATATATACTTTTAAATTAACGAATACAACTAATTTCGTCCGACCAGCCAATTTTGTATTTTGCACCGAAAAATAAACAGTACTTGGATGTTTGATCAAATAAGTTATGATCTATGTCAGCTCAGCTTCGAGAAAATGATCTTTATTTTGGTCCTTGAAGTATATACTTAAGGGATATATTATGAATTTGTATTATTATAAAAAATTGAATAGGACATATTTTGAGAAAAAAATATACTATACCAATGCCGAAGTAATACATAAAAAAAGTATTTTTTTTAAGAAAATTTAGTTTTAGGTTTGAGGACCAAAAATATCTGTTTTTTTGCCAATTTCCAAACATTAAGGATTATATCCATCAAGTGTATACATCAAGGCTGTTGGGTGAATCTAATTAGCTACACTTTGAACGTGTATGATTATATGTACTTACCCGTATTCAATATTCATTCAAATGTTGATGTAAAGACACAAGGGCGGAAAGACCTCTTCTTTTCTCTAAGCTTCTTTTAAACACCTTAGTAAATTTTCATTATTCAAACAAACCTAATAATTTGAGAAAAATAATTCAAGAAAAAGAAATTATACGAATTGGTATTAAAAAGGCCTATAATAAAGTTTTAATATTTTTAGCACATCTATCTGTTTGACCAAAAAGTGTAACTTTCGGCTAAACTATTAAATTTCTGTAATAATGGGTTAAATCTAGTTAAATACGATAACTCTAGATGCAAGTCTTGAAAACGTGTGGGAGATGGGGACATATCCAGTAAAAGATTGATGATAATAAGTACAAAATATTCTTAAAGTGTGAGTAATAATAGAGGTGTAACTAGCAATAAATGACATTTAAATAAATATGAGGAATGATTCACCCAATAATGGATGGATTGGACGAATGTTTCTCCTGACAATGATGAATGACAGATAGATTCAAGATTTGCTTGATCAATCCTCAGATCTGGTGGAAAGATATGGAATAATATGAGCAAGAATCTTGATAAAAAGATAATCTTTGTATTCTTACAAAAGAGAGAGAGAATCTTCTCCTAAAAAGTGTTCTTATCAAAATGAATATTACATGCCTCTATTCCCTTTTGTTTTTCCCTTATATCCTTGACACATATCCCTATTTAACCCTAATAGTACAAATGCAGAGAATATTCTCTCTAATATTTTATTTTGAAAACTAGCCGTTACTGTTCTTTACACGATGCTCGACCTCAATCATGGTTGACATCTCGACCACGAATCTTGCTACTTCCTGGTCGAGCTAAGACTAACTCTTTCCTTAATGTTGTATTACGCTGAATATCCTTAGAAAAATTTTTGGCCTATACAGTTAGTCCCTCCGCTCATTAATGCCGACCCCAGGCGACCTTGATGAGCGGACTCTGTTTATCGTGGTTGGCAAAATTAGGCGAGCGAGTCGAGTAGTGGCGTTTCAGACGAGGTGACAACATGATCTTTCGTGAACCGCAACCTTTGGGGTCGCATCGTGTCAGAATGACGTCATGACATCATGCATCATTTGGTGTATTTTTCCAATGCTTTGCATCGTTTCCCATGCCTCTGCCATTTTGATTCCTGTGCTAGGTAATGATGGCCTGATTCTCTTGGTCCTGACGCTTGGACTCTTATAAATAAGGATATGAGACCATTCGTTTGTGTTTTGCATATTCTTAATATCGAGTCTCTGTGTCTTCTTCTCTATTCTTCATATTGAATCTTTGTCTTCCTTTTACTTCGTTATCGCGTATCCACTCCCCTGATTCTGGTGATTCCAATTACTTCCAACACTTATGTACTTAAACATCTTCTCTCGAAAATATGGTTAACATACCCTCTGATTCCAGCATGGCAACTGACCCTATCTCTTTGGCGGTGCGTATGCCTCCTCATGGCGATAGTGTTTCTATTGCCATTGAAGATGAGAATTTTTCTACAGTGGAGGAAATAATCCCTCGTTGTGAAAAAGTTAGATCCGACTTTTTGAAAATGCCTGGGGACGACCCTGAGATCTCTGAATCGACGATGAAAGAGGTCGATCTCACTAAGCTTAGGGCAAATTTCAAAATTCCTGCCCCTATCGATCTAATCCCAGCGGGGCACGATATGGTACAAATACACCGCCCCGGGTATTGCGCTTTCTATGCGTATCCTTTCTACGTTGGCTATTCCTTTCCTCGTCTCTCATTGGCGGAGTAATTTTGCCGCTATTACGGCATTTTCCCGATCCAACTCTCTCAATACATCTACAAGCTTATCCGCATATTGACGAAATATGCGGAGTTGGCCGGGGTCGGGGTCACACTCCGCCATCTGATGCATCTCTTCGCCCCGAGTTTCTATAGGGGGACGATGTTGTACCTTAGCCACCGAGGAAGTGGTGACAACTACTTTCTGGCTCAACTACATTTTCTTCAAGACCGAGGACGCGGTGGCCAACGCGCGCGGATTCCCTAAGACTTGGAATTATGCTCGTAAGTATCCCTTTTTTGTCAAGTGTTTGTTCTTCTTGCTTTAGTCATAGTTTGATATTCCGTCCCTTCTTCGTGTAGCCGAGACTATGCCCCCTTATTTGGTCGGGGACATTCATGGCTGGGTCAGCCAGATTCTGCCTCGCACAATAGGGATTCGTGAACGACCGACCTTTTTTAAGAAGTTCGGGCCTATGTCTTCCTTAACCGGTGAGTTCATATATCTATCTATATATATATGTCTATACTGTTTGACCTCATAGTTGCTTGCTCGCTATAGTTTCGTATAGGAAGTGACTATCTTTTAATCTTTCTTTTTCAGCTCGAGGATCTTCGAGTAGACCGAGGGCTCCTGCTCCTTCATTTCGTAAAAGGAAGGCTCGTACTTCTTCTTCGGAGTCTGTTCCAGTTATGACCGCGACTAGGCCTGCCCGGTTGTCTGCTTCTGTTCCTTCTTCTACCGCTGCTAGGTCTGCTCGATCGTCAACTACATCTGTAGCAGAACTCCCGACTTCCCCTTTGCATCATCTAGTAGACAGGGATGATGAAGAGGAATCGTCACCGAATAGTGGCAACTTGCTTCCCTGCAAGAGGAGATCAATGGATGTCGGCGAAGGAGCTGTCCGGGTGGTGAATCCGATGATAGTGGATTTCGTCATCCGAGAAACGACGACCATAAATCTTGAAGATGATGCCGAATTACCGCTCGTGATTCCGCCATCATCTGAAGCCGAAGAGGGCACGTCTCTCCCTAAGACCGTGATTGAATTTGAAGGGCCATCGGCGAGAGTCCCTGACGACTTGCGGCAAGATGAGCCATCGGTCTCGCGACCGGCCGAGGATCCTTCTTCGAGGATCGACATAAAAGGAAAATGTATAGCCGAGGAAGGTTATGAGACAGGCTTTGATATGAATGCCGAGGAGGTGGGGACTTACCCGACTTGAGGTGATATTGGAGAGGACCACGCAGACTATTGCGATCCCTATGGATCAGAATTTGCTGGTTGACACGGAGGATGTGGTCCATTCTCTTGGTACCCTCTGTTCTGACGTGGAGGGTAAAACCCTTGAAAAGCTGAAGGATGTCACTTTATCTAGGAGCATAGCCGACCTCAATCTTAGGGTAAGTTTTTCGATCCCTCTTCGTTTCTTTATGTAGACTTCAAAGCTTCGTTCTTACTCTTCGTTTTATGTTTCTCTTTCTTTCAGACTGTGATCTTGGAGATTGAGAGCGCCCGACGAGAGGAGAGGTTGTGATGACCCAATATATCATCTTTAATTTTAAATATTCATTTATATGTTCTATGACCTCGAAAAGTACTATTCAGCATTCCTTGATTTGCGTGCACAATTCGTAAATTTTTCCGAAAAGTTTTTATATGAAAAATTGATCAAAATATGAAATAGAGCTTTAAAACTCAACTGAGTTGACTTCGGTCAACGTTTTGAGCCAACAAATCCGGATCAGTATTTTGACAGTTCCGGTAGGTCCGTATCGTGATTTGGGACTTGGGCATATGCCCAGAATCGAATTCGAAGGTCCTAGCTCAAATTATCGATTTAACGGAAACTAGAAATTTAAAGATTTAAGAATTCCTAAATTTAGTCATAATTGGGTTTTTGTTGATACCGGGTCCTAATTTAGATTCCGAGAGTTCGATCAGCTTTGTAACAATATTTATGACTTATGTACAAAATTTGAAGTTATTCCGAGGTACGTAGGTACGTTTTCCGTTAGTTTTTGAAAAAAATAAAAGGTTTGATTTTATAAAGCTTGAATTTCTAAAGTTTGACCGGAGATTTCACTTTTGAGGAAAACGACTCCGGAGTGGAATTTTGATGATTCCAATAGATTCGTATGGTGATTTCGGACTTAGGCGCATGTTCGGATTTGGATTTGAAAGTCCGTAGGACAATTCGACACATTTTGGCGAAGTTGAAAAATAGAAGATTTTTGAAAAGTTTGACGGAGAGTTGACTTTATTGATATCGGGGTTGAAATTTGATTTTTGAAATTGGAACAACTCCACTATGTCATTTATGTCTTGCATGCAAAATTTGAGTTCATTTCGAATTGATTTGGCATGTTTCGGCGCGAGTTATAGAATTGAAAATTTCATAAACTTATAAGTACGAATCGACGCGCGATTTGTAGTTTCGCCATTGTTATGTGTGATTTGAGACCTCCAGTAGGTTCATAATATATTTTGAGACTTGTTGGTATGTTAGGACGGGATCCCGAGGGGCTCGAGTGAGTTTTAGAGTGGTTTAGACCATTTTCAGGTCATTTTTAACTAATATTTTTTTACAGCAGTGTGTGAAATTTTTGATGCTCAGAGCTGACTTTGGAAGCTTATATCTCGCAATATACAAGGAATCTGGAAATTATCAAAACAAAAAAGTTGTAGCCCTTTGATTCTAGTTTCCAGAAAGATAAACCATTTATCATTTGGCCATTTGTATAGAATGTTATGATCGATTGACTGAAGGCTGGTAATGCAGTTTTTGTTTGCCTGGCAGTGTACATCGCCAGAAATTTCTGATGCATATGGCTGATTTTTGAAGCTTATATCTCACAATTTATGAGTAATCTGGAAATTATCAAAACATGAAAGATGTAACTCTTTGATTCTAGTTTCCAAAAAGATAAACCATTCATCATTTGGATATTTGTACAGAAAGTTACGATCGATTGATTGAAGGTTGGTACCGCAATTTTTGGCTTGAAAATTTTGAGACAAGTCGCATCTCACAAATGCGACTTGCCTGGACAAAATATATATGTCCAGAGTCCGACATTTTTGTTTATTTTTAGAGTTTTAGACCTCGATTTTGGGCGATTTCAGAGGCATTTTTCATGATTTTGAGTTGGGTAATATTCTTTATCCGAAATTAGTTATATTTCATGATTCCATACTCATTTATATCATGAATCCGTGAATTTATGGAAGAAAAATCAGATTTTTATAAAATCTTCTAAAAACGAAAATTTAAGATTTGAAAGCCAATCCGATGTCAGAATTCAATAATTTTTGTATGGTTGAACTCGTATCGGAACGGGTGTTCGGATTTCGTGAGTTTTTCCAGGATTCGAGACGTGGTCCCACTGTTGATTTTTGAAATGAATTTCGGATTTTAATCCGGAAAATTAGTAATTTCACATGAAATTAATTCCTACGATTTGTGTTGAGAATATTGAATTGTTTGTGACTAGATTTGCAGCTTTCAGACATCAATTCGCGAGGCAAAGGTTTATTGGAATTTTGAATTTGCTTGCGAAGCAAGGTAAGCGTCGTGGTTAACCTTGACTTGAGAGAATAAAACCCTTGAATTATTGTTACATGAATTTCATGTGTAACGATGTATAGGCGAGGTGACGAGTGCCTATACGTCGTCAAATTGATTGTTTTCACATTTATATGAAAACCATAAATTATTTTAAATCATAAATTAATTATTATATTAATTATTTATCTCATATTCCTTACTCAATATTATGCCTTGAATCCATGCTATATTTGCTACATGCTTATTTGATTTATGTGACTTAATTGTTACTTGACATTTAGCATACTAAATATTAAATTGCCTATTTTCTCCTTAATTTACACAATTAATTGCTACTTGTCATCACTTGTTTCTAAATAAATCATAATTATTATATGCTTGCTGTATTATAATTACATATTAATTGTTGCATTTATTGGAATAATTTCTTTTATAAGAATTGATAAATTATATTATTGAGGAGCGGGTTGCACGCCGCAACAGAAATGAAAGTGAATATATTGGAGTAGCGGGTTGCACGCCGCAAGAGAATTGATTGAAAGTGAATATATTGGAGGATTGGGTTGCACGCCGCAATAGAATTGATTGAAAAGATATATTGAGGATCGGGTTGCACGCCACGACAGAATTAAATAAAAATAAATATATTGTGGGATCGGGTTGCACGTAACAACGAAATTGAATCTGAATATATTGTGGGATCGGGTTGCACGCCGCAACAAAAAATGATTTAAGTAATAATTGGTTATGACTGCCGAGTTGGCTTGATTGTTGATATGATTTACCGGTTTAATTTCCATTCATATTCTCCTATATTGTTGTTATTATTATTATTATTGTGTACAGGTTAATGTAAGTGACCTGCCTTAGCCTCGTCACTACTTCGTCGAGGTTAGGCTCGACACTTACTGGGTACATGGGGTCGGTTGTACTCATACTACACTCTGCACTTCTTGTGCAAATACCTGAGTTGGTCCTAACGACGTACAATAGATTTGCTCGGATTCAGCTATCCACATGAGACTTGAGGTATAGCTTCACGACGTTCGCAGCTCTGAAGTCCCCATCTACTTTATTTTAGATGTTTATTTCTGTCAGACAACTTTATTTTCATTCAGACCCTTATTTGTATCATTCTAGTAGCTCGTGCACTTGTGACACGAATTCTAGGATGGTATTTAGACATCGCTATTATTATGGTTTACTTATTTTATTTTAGATTTTATTCCAATTATTAGTTTCTTTATTATTAATTAAATTAAATTGTTAAAAAAAATGATTAAAATTATTCTAACGTTGGATTGTCTAGCAAGTAAAATGTTAGGCGCCATCACGGCCCCGAAGGTGGGAATTTTGGGTCGTGAAATAGGCGTAAGGCTATTTTTCAGAAGATGGAGCGAAAATATCGTGAATATTGAATAAGCACCGCGAGATCTGCAGACGGTTCGGTGAGAGCGGCAATTTCCAGGCTCTCCGAGATGAACTGAAGGAGAAGGATGACGAGTTGGTAAGAGTCATCGAAAAATGCAACATTATTGAGGGGGTGTTAAGGGACAAAGAAGAAGAGCTTGAGGTGAGCAAGGGGGTCGGGGCTCAATGTAGTGATCTTCAAGCCCAGGTGGTCTCATTGCGCGCCGAGCTCGAGGAGTGTCAACTCAAAGCAGACGCTCTGAGTGGCGAGGTCGCTGAGAAGGTAACAAATTTAGAGAAGGCAGAGTTGGCCCTGTTGGGGGCTACGAGGAAAATGGAGGCTTTAGAGATCGTGATCCACATTCTTCATTTTGAGCGGGAGAGTGCTCTGGAGATGGCCAGGCTCAGAGAGGAGCTGCTTGATGAATGGATAGGGGAGCTAGAAAATGAGGCTTCAGGCCTTTGTGATCGAGTTGCTGCTCTTGAGTCGAGATGGCACATTTATTGGCTCGACCGTCTTCTTCCCATACTTCTGCTTTTCCTGATGTTCCGCGGGATGTGTATGAGGAATGGATTCACGTCGAGGCCCAGTTGGATATATTTAGAGATCTGATGGGGGCAGAAACTATTTCAGAGGCCGACTTCAAGGATGCTCGTGTTAAGGTACGTACAACTCGAGTTGCTTGTGGCTATGATCCCGTTACACTAGAAGCCGGTGATGTCGAGGAGGGTGGAGGCGTGGATCGGATTGAACAAGACGTCTGGTATGAGGATAAGTATCCCGATGGCGATGGCGATAGTGAAGAGGCAGATGGAGATGGCCTAGGCGATCAAGCTGATGGCGTTGCTGGGCCAGGCGACGATTAGTTGTTTTTTCTTTCCTTCTTTTTTTGCTTAGCCGCAGACTTGTGTATTTTTTGTGGGCGTGTTTTAGAGCCTTTGTAAAAAATATTCTAAGTATGAAATGCTAGTTCTGTTATTCGTACCTGATTCTTTTTCTTCTGTTCAGGTATGTATACTTTTTTGACTTTGTTGCTTGGTTGCCTTAGCCATAATAATTTTGTTCAATTAGGTTGAAGGAGGTTGAAACAAAACCTAGGTTTGATTATGGCCGAGGTCCAGTAGGTGTTGGTTCGAACGAGGTCGAACACATCGCATGTTTATTTATGGTCGAGGGCCGATTAGGTGTTGATTCGAGCGAGGTCGAATATAACTTATATTTAGTTATGACCGAGGGCCAATTAGGTGTTAATTCGAACTAGGTCGAATGTAACCTATATTCAATTATTGTCGAGGGCCGAGTAGGTGTAAATTCGAACAAGGTCAAATGTAACCTATATTCAGTTATGGCTGAGGGCCAAGTAGGTGTAATTCGAACGAGGTCGAATGTAACCTATCCTTGGAGAGAACAGAAATAAACTTCGAACATAAATAAGCTTCATGTGTTTGCATTTTGTTCATATACTTGGAGATATTTACATATTTTTCGGGTGCTGGCTGGCATTTCAGTCCTAGTCCCAGTCTATATAGTCCCTTCATTGGTCGAGCTGGAAAAATATTCAGAGGTCGAGCAATGAACTAGCTGTCTAGTGCCTCTGTTTGTGCGCACTTCAATCCTGAAGTATCCCCATCATCGCCTCATTAAAAACCTCCTTGAGAAAACCCAATTGGGACAAAACTCGAGTGAGGAAAAATAGTACGACTTTAGGGACATCATCCTTTAAAAGTTGAAGTACTTGAGGTGTGTAATATTCCAGTTGTTTGGTAGTCGCCTTCCTTCCATTGTTTCTAGTGTGAATGACCATTTGTTTGCTGTTGCCGTGATTTTGTATGGGTCGTCCTAGTTTGTTCCTAGTTTGCCTTCCTGCGAGTCTTTGCTTGCTTGTGTTTTGACTTTAAGCACGTAGTCCCCAACTTTGAGTGGCCCGATCTTTGCCTTTTTGTTATAATAGCGTTCTGCTTGTTGTTTTTGGGCGATTATTCTCACGTAGGCCATATCTCTTCGTTCCTCGGCTTCGCCGAGTTCCTGTATTCTACTGTCATCATTTTGGGGTTCGCTTTCATAGGAGTATCTTAAGCTGGGCTCCCTAACCTCAACCGGTATTACTGCATTAGTCCCATAGACTAACGATTGTGGTGTTTCTGCTGTGCTCGTCTTTGGCGTTGTTTGGTAGGCCCAGAGTACTTCTGGTAATATTTTCGGCCACAGTCCCTTGGCGTCTTCGAGTTTCTTCTTCACGATCTTCAGTATTGACTTATTGGAGGATTCCGCTTGCCCGTTGCCCGCGGGGTGGTAAGGCGTTGAGAGTATTCTTTTGATGTGCCATTTTTCAAAAAAGTCGGCGACCTTCCTTCCGTAAATTGGGGTTCGTTGTTGCAGCTTATTTCTTTGGGGAGACCGAAACGACATATGGTGTTTTTCCATATGAAGGTGATCATTTCTTGTTCGCGTATTTGGGCGAATGCTCCTGCTTCCACCCATTTAGAGAAATAGTCAGCTAAAACCAAAAGAAATCGTACGTTACCTCGTCCTGCCGGGGAAGTTACTGAGTGTACGATGTCCATTCCCCATTTGATGAACGGCCAAGGGGAAGTTACTGAGTGTAGGTGTTCGCCTGCTTGGTGGATCATTGGGGCACACTTATGGCATTGCTCGCATTTTTTCACGAAATCCGTGGCCTCTTTTTTCATGGTGGGCCAGTAATATCCTAACCGTATGAGGCATCTGACTAAAGCTCGATTGCCGGAATGAGCTCCATAATGGCCTTCGTGTACTTCTTCAAGGACGCGCTGCGTCTGATTTGGGCCTAAACATTTCGCTAGAGGGCCGCTATATGTCCTTTTGTACAGGTCGTTATGAATGATGTTGTATCTGGATGCTTGCATTCACAGCTTCTTGGCCTCTTTTTTATCATTAGGGAGTACGCCGTCCTGCAGCTATGTAATAATATGGTTGTGCCAATCCCAAGTCAGGTTTATGGTTCTTACCTTGATTTGATCTATTAACGAGTTGAGGAGGTGGGCCACATTTCTTTCTCCGGTTGTAATGTTTTTGGTGGCTGCGGCTAATTTGGCGAGTCCGTCCGTCTCGGTGTTCTGTGCTCAGGGGATCCGATCGAGTTGATATTCATCGAACTCGGGTAGTAGCTTGCAGATTTCAGTCTGGTACTTTTTTAACCTTTGCTCCTTGATTTGGAAAGTCCTTATGACTTGGTTGACCACAAGTTGAGAATCGAAGTGCAATCTGAGCCACTTCGCTCCATATTTGATTGCTAGTCTCAGTCCTACAATTACTGCTTCATACTCGGTCTCGTTGTTAGTCATGTCCGGGCATCTTATGGACTGGCAAATCACTTCGCCTGTTGGGACTTCGAGTACGAGTCCCAGCCTAGATCCTGATGCGTTAGTCGCGCAATCGATGTACAAGACCTAGAGGTCTTATGTTTGGGGAGAAGCGTGGACAACTTCTTTTTTGACTTCGGGCCTTATTTTTACACTGAAGTCGGTGACAAAGTCTGCGAGGACCTATGAATTTATTGCCATTCGCGGCCGATATGTAATATCGTGCTCGCTCAGTTCGACCATTTGGCCATCCTGCCCGATAGCTCGGGTTTATGTAAAATGCTTTTTAAGGGAAAAGTCATGACGACCGAAGTGGGACTTTTCTTTGTTCCTGAACAATGAATTTAACAATACAATACAACCAATTTTAAATAAACAAAATCAAACAAATACTGTTTTTGGATAACAATACAATACGATAGAATTGATAAAAACCATCCAAACAAGTTGTTCAAATATCCAAATGGAAAGTGATGATAATTTTAAGAGTCCACTTATCTATTTGGCCTAAATTTCTTTTTATAGGCAGTTCAATGTTTTCCACCTAATCTAAAGTTTTGGTTTGAATTTCTAATGTTCAAAACTGCCTTCTTTTTGTTAAGCTGCAACCGCCACAATTGTACTTTAAATATTTCTTGCTCGTCTGCGGAGAATAGATGGAGCTACTGTGTGCAACAAAATTATATTTGCAAAGATAAGTTTATATCTTTTGGTAAGTTGCTCCCGCATTTTTCAGTCCGAAGGGCATGACCCTGTAGCAGTACGTCCCCTCGTGGGTGATGAAGGTGGTCTTTTCCTGGTCCTCTTCCTCTATAAGGATCTGATTATAGCCCGAGTAGGCATATAAGAAACTTAGTAGCTCATGCCCGGCTGTTGCGTCGATGAGTTTGGTCGATATGAGGTAATGGAAATGAATCCTTGGGGCAAGCGTTGTTCACGTCAGTGAAATCAACACACATCCGCCACTTGCCGTTCTTCCTTTTAACCATGACTAGTTGGCAACCCATTGGGGGTACTTCGACTCAATGATGGAGCCATTTTCCAACAATGTTTCCACTTCTTCGCGTACTACATCATTAATTACGGAGTTGAACTTACTCCTAACCTGCCTCACCAAGGGGTGGAATAGGTCAACATTCAATATGTGCGTGGCGATTTCCTTTGGGATACCTTGCATATCTATATGGCTAAAAGCAAACAAGTCCGCATTAGTAGTTAAGAATTGACGAAACTTNGGCATATCTACATGGCTAAAAGCAAATAAGTCCGCATTAGCAGTTAAAAATTCACAAAACTTACTTGATTCCTGAAGTTTGCAACCGATGTGAGCTTTCTTGCCATGGTCGTTGCTGTCTAATTGAACGAGGTCGAGGTCCTCTACGGTCAATCCTGCGGCCTAGACCATATCGAGGTCTCTGATGACGTCCTCGTTGTCATCGCATACCGACCTCCACCCTGTTGATTGCTATGCCTCTTTTTGTTTATCCTTTGTTTGTTGGGTGGCAGTACAGTCTAGGGCGATGCAGTAGCATTCCTGGGACGTGCGTTTCTCCCCTCGTATACTGAATATTCCCAATGGAGTTGGGAATTTGACGACTTGGTACAAGTTGGAGGGGATAGCTCTCATAGTGTGTATCCATGGTCGTCCTATTATAGCGTTGTATGCTGTGTCCTAGTCCATGATGTGGAATGTGGTCTCCAGAGTGACACCACTCGCTAGGACGGGGAGTGTGATCTCGCCAGATGTTCACTCAACTGCATTGTTAAAGCCTGTTAGTGTGATACAATGTGGCACTATCTTGTCCTCGAGTTTCATTTGTGCGAGTACTCGAGGATGGATAATACACGCGCCGCTCCCATCATCTACCATAATCCGTCTTATGCCGGTATCTAAAATTTATAAAGTAATAACGAGAGCATCATAGTGAGGTAAAGCGAAACCGTTGGTATATGACTTATCGAAGATGATACTTTCTTCAAGTTTATTACCGTTCGTGGGTGATCGACCGTTTGAGGTTGTGGGTTGTGGTAAACTTTACACTATTTATGGAATCGTCGTCCCCTCCACCGATGATCATGTGGATGATGCGGGTTGGCGAGGGCGGTTTCGGCAGCCCTTGATGTTGTTCACGCCCCCTAGCAAAGTTGGTCCTTCCCCAATTGCTCAACAATTCTTTGAGGTGTCCGTGTCGTAGCATATTTATGACCTCCTATCTTAGGGCGATGCAATCTTTGGTTTTGTGTCCTCACTCTTGATGGAACTCGTAGAGGGCGTCTGATTTTCTGGTATTCGGGTCTGACCTCATCTTTTGTGGCCACTTCACCTTTGGTCTGAGCTTCTCCAAGGCGTAGTCTATCTCTATAGGTGACACGCAAAAATTCTAAGCGGATAGTAAATGGGGCATACCTCTCTCATTCTGGTGAGTCCCTATTCTTTATCGTGGTTGGCCTTCTTCATGGCGGGATGAGGACACAGCTGTAGCTCTGACATATGGGAGATATCGTTCCCGGTTTGGTCGTAAGGCCACAAGGTCTCTTCTGATATCATTTCTTTGATCTTTTCTGGATTCCACTTGTACCGAGGTCAGTCGATGGGTCGTCTTCGTCTGCTCGGACTTTGGCATGATATGCATTATGTATTTCGTCCCAAGTCGTTGGGGGATACTTCATAAGTTGACTTAATAATATTCTTGTCGCCCTTGAACCATTTCTGCTCAGCCCTTTTTGAAAAGCTGCTACCGCCATTCCTTCCGATACATTGGGCAAGGTCATTCTTACTCGGTTAAAACGGGCGAGGAAGTCCCCCAGCCCCTCTCCCGAAGACTGTTTGATAGTGAAGATGTCATTTACTCTTGCCTCAGCCTTCTTGGCCCCAGCATGGGCCGTTACGAACTTATCAGCCATTTCCTCAAAGGTTTCGATGGAACGTGCAGGCAGTTGCGAATACCAGATTAATGCGCCTTCCGTGAGGGTTTTGCCGAATTGTTTTAGCATAATGGAGGATACTTGTTCCTTGGCGAGGTCATTGCCTTTCATGGCGGGTGACGTAGTGGGTCACATGATCCTCGGGGTCGCTTGTGCCATGGTATATTTTCAAATAAGGACATTTTAAAGGTCTTTGGTATGGAATGTGGGGCAGCACTATCACTGTACGGTTGCTCGACAAACCGATCGACATCTCTCTTCGGCAATAGCTTAGGAGCGCTCAGTATTTTATCGACCCTTTCTTGGTGTTCTTTCATTTGGTCCCGAAGTTCCTTATTCTCATTCTCCCTTTCCTCCATTCTTTTCAGAATGGCGGTGAGAGCATCGTCACCTGCATTATTAACAACATTGTGAGTCATACCTGTCCTCGTGGGAGGCGGAGGTTGATCATTTGCTCATCCACTGGTGGCGTAACACAGGTTCTCGCATTTTCTGCGACCGCGTCCCGAACGGGCTTATGGACGCTGGTCAGTGTATCAGTTAGCCAAGCGTCAAGGAGATTCTTTATCGTTGGTGGCACCTTCTCTCCCACGTATGTGGAGGTTGTCTTACCAAGAGATTTTGTGATGCTGCGGTGGGGAAGGGATGATCCACCTCGCCTAGGATAGGCATTGGGCGTCGTGTCCTCGTCCACTGCTTCAGAGATCTCGTGGATGATGTTCATGAGGTTGATTGGGAGGTCACTCATTATTCTCGTTTTTTCTTCTCTGTTACCTGCCATATTAGATCTATGCATGTAGAGAGAAAAAGGTTCTTGCTTTGTTTTTTTTCTTTACGTTAGTAACCAGTGTCGATTGTAGATCTAGAAGAAACTAAAAGATTTAACTAGAAAATCCTCACAGACGGCACCAAATTATTTATCCAAAAAGTGTAACTTTCGGCTAATATATTAAATTAATGTAATAATGAGTTAAATCTAGTTAAATATAATAACTCTAGATGCAAGTCTTGAAAACGTGTGGGAGATGGGGACAAATCCCGTAAAATATTGATGATAATAAGTATAAAATATTCTTAAAGTGTGAGTAATAATGGAGGTGCAACTAGTAATAAATAATAATAAATGACATTTAAGTAAATATGAGAAATGATTCACCCAATAATAGATGGATTTGATGAATGTTTCTCCCGACAATGATGAATGACAGATTGATCCAAGATTTACTTGATCAATCATCGGATCTAGTGAAAAGATGTGGAATAATATGAGCAAGAATCTTGATAAAAAGGTAATCTTTGTATTCTTTCAAGAGAGAGAGAATCTTCTCCTGAATAGTGTTCTTATCAAAATGAATATTACATGCCCCTATTCCCTTTTCTTTTTCCCTTATATCTTTGACATATATCCCTAGTTAACCATAATAGTACAAATGCAGGGAATATTCACTCTTTAATATCTTATTTTAAAAACTAGCCGTTACTGTTCTTTACACGATGCTCGACCTCGGTTATGGTTGACATCTCGGCCAGGAATCTTGCTTCTTCCTGGTCGAGCTCGACCAACTCTTTTCTTAATGCCGTATTACGCTGAATATCCTTAGGACATATTTTGGCATATACACTATCCATATTTAAGGATTTTTGCAACTCCATCCATCGATACCGTCGTTGCCTACCACTATCGACTACCACCGTTCACAACCACTATTCTCAACCACTATTCTCAACCACCACTGTCGTCAATGGCCATATTTTAGCCATCACCTTTACAAGCCACCATTTACAATCATCACACCAATCACTATTATCACAACCACCACAATCACTACCATCGCGACCGCCATGTTTACAAACCCAATATTTAACCATCCTTTTCCTAATTACCTCATTTTTTCACTTATTCGATCAATTTAATTTCATTGTTTTTTTCTTAGTTTACATATTTATTGAGAAAATCGCAACAAAAAAAAACATTATCTTCTTAAATTCAGATACCTAGAGTATTTTTGAGATATGAACAACCTTTCTTTACCAACTTTTGGTCTCTATCATTTTCTGAGGCTTCATATACCAAATTTTCTCCCACTCTTGTCGAAGCATTAACGAAGAGAATTGAAGTATGAGTGAAGGATAGCCATGAAATTAATATTTTTGATCAATGGTTGTCTTTCTTCCTTGCTCCCTATTTAAGTCTGAGGATATTTCGGATCTAAACCCCACACAAAAAAAAAAAGCTTCCCGCGTTGAGATTCTTGGCATCTTTCGCAAAGTGTCTAACTTCATATATCGTTAAGTTAAAGGTTCATTCTTGTTTCCTTGTTCTGATTTGAACTCATTTTGATTCTTAAGTTTTGCTGGTTTAAAACAAATTTTTTATTTTAATTTTTGAAGTGACAAACTATAGGTCACGGGTTCGAGCCGTGGATATAGCTACTAATCCTTGCATTAGAGTATGCTGTCTACATCACATCCTTTGGGGTGCGGCGCTTGCGGGATGCATTGTGCACTATGTTGTCCTTTAAAATTAGCATTTCTTTTGAAATGAAAAAAAATAAAATAAAATTAGGACGCTGGTTTAAGCTTAACATGGGGTTCGTTTGTGAAGTTTTGCACTCTAATAAATTTTCACAAGGTTGATAATGTAATCTGAGCGGATTTAATAATGTAGTAGTAAGCTTTTTAGGAACTTTGCAATTATATATTAGTTAGAAAGAATAAAAGAGAGCTTTGTTGAAAGAATCCCACTTGGTTTACATAAATTTATTACGTGGGCACATGCATGCAGTACTTTTCATCTCATGAGATATTGAGATTTAATTTTTGTTGAATTTTTTATCCATTATAAGTGATGAGTTTATTTTGTTGAGATGTATGTAGATTAAAAATTTTGAACGTAGAGAGTTCTGTTTTATTGCCTTAGGTTATCTCATATTAAGTTAATGTTTTTACTATTTTGAAAATTAAGTTTTTTCTTCCCTCCATCTTCTTTTTTCACAGGCGATCGACCATATTCTTCTTTATTATTATAGTACACCCATTTTTTCATACTCAGCTTTAGAAAATATTCCTTCCTTGATTTTCTACTATTTTTCTTTCCATAAAATAGTAGATATTTTTAGCAAATTTTTGTCAAACAAAGTTCGAGTAAATTTTGTGGGTGGTCATTCAACTTTGTGTTCATTACTCTAAAGTCATTTTTCTTTTTTTGTTACATAAAAGTCATTCAACTTTGTGTTCATTACCCAAAAGTTATTTTTCTTTCTTTTGTTACACAAAAATTATTTTACTATGCTCTAGTTATCACAATAGTCACTTTGATTTATACAACTTTTACCTGAAAAGTCCATTATACCCTTGACATTATAAATGCTCCGATTTATGTAATACCTTTTATATTATATATACTGTATAATATATTTTTACCTAAATATTTTACTTATAATTAAAATAACTTAATATTATATGATTTATTATTTTTATAATATATTTGACATTTAATTTTTTCTTAACGTTAATTTTCAAGATATAGAGGTAGGATTATTAAATTTGTTAGTAATATTACTATAAATAAATCTCACGTCAATATTCTTAACCATACCTAATAAAATATTTTAAACAAAATTTATAAAATTAAATCTCACAGATTTATCAGTCAAGCTATATTCGTTAATCAAATGAAGAAAATATCCACATTTAGCACACTGACACATCAAATTAATATTTTTAAAAATAATATTAACAGATAAAAGCTTTAAAAGACTTAATATTAAGCACAAATATCTTGAATTTTTTTGAAAGTTTTACTAACTATAAAATACTATCATTTGTTAACTAAATCCGTTCTTATTATTTCAAATAAATATTAAAAATAAATATTTTTTGTCGTTTTTATGCTTCAATATATGTTCATGTTTGAATATTCTACGACAAAATTAAATGTACGAATTTATTATAAAATAATAATAAAATAATATAAAGCCATTTTAACTATAAGTAAAATATCTAGGTAAAAATATATTATATAGTATATAATATATAAGGTATTACATAATGGGAGGATTTATAAAGCCAATGGCATAGGTGAAAGTTTTATAAAATATGGTCAAAGTGATTATTGTGATAACTAGAGCATAATAAAATAATTTTTGTGTAACATAAGAAAGAAAAGTGACTTTTGGGTAATGAACACAAGGTTGAATGACTTTTATGTAATCAAAAAAAAAATGACTTTAGGGTAATGAACACAAAGCTAAATGACCATCCATAAAATTTACTCACAAAGTTCCAAAAGAAGGTACTTTAGGAGATTAGCTTATATTTTATTTGGCCAAATTATTTTAGAAAAGTATTGTTTAAGTGTTAAATTATAAAATTGTAAAAGACATGTAAAATGTAAATAATCACTTTATAATTAGAGCACTATTATTTAAGGCATAATACATGGACAACCCCTTAAAGTTGTTATGATTTTTCATTTAAACACCTAAACTAGAAATCTGACCTATAGAGTACCTTATGTTGTTGATAATGTGTCTATTGAAAACATCTTTTCATAATTCTAGCAAATCTATTTAAAAAGTTGCTGCCATGTGACCAGGAGGTCCGTAGAAACAGCCTCTGGTAGAAATATAAGGTAAGATCGCATACAATAGACCTTTGTGGTCCGACACTTCTCCGGACCTCACGCATAGCGGGAGATTAGTGCACTGGACTGCCTTTTTTATTTACTAAAAGATGTCATCGCCTCCTTACGTCTCTTTTCTTCCAAAGATTGCAACAGCTCATGAATCACATTCACAGCACTAATTTCTTGATCAATAATATCTCCACCAAATTTGGAAACTTCATTTGCACCATGTGGAATTAGATATCTTTCATACTTAATTAATGCTTGAAATGTTTCATGTGTCCTTATATAATGTGCCATCTGGTAATTAATATATTTGGACAGGGCTAAAATTTGTTGCTGAATAGATAGCTTAGCTTGCAGTCTGGTTGAATAACTAAAACTCCAGGTGATATTATCTTTTGCATAAAGATTTAACCTCCATAAATTTCCTCACTTCCAATGGACATGGAATCGAGCTGCATTAATCAGTTTCTGGAGGGCAAGACCATTTTCATCACTGGCGCAACTGGCTACCTAGCAAAGAGTACTTTCTCTATCACTTTCTCTCTACTATATATAGGTTGCACTAACAGTGCTTTTGTNATATGATCGTAGTCATCACATTAGACTACAACTCTAGTCCATAAGAATTCAAGATTATCAGAGTTCAAAGCTCGATGTGATCAGTTAAAGAATATGTTTTAAGTGCAGGTCATAAAGACGGATCTGTTCAGAATTCTAAGGGAAAAGTTGGGTGCCGACCTACCCTCCCTTATAGAAGACAGAGTTTTCCCAGTTGCTGGTGATATAGCTTGTGATAATTTGAGGATAAATTCTGAGCTGAAAGATGAGATGCGCAGAGAAATCGACTTATTTGTAAACTCAGCTGCTACAACTAGTTTTGATGAAAGGTACTAATAGAAGTAACAATCTTTTACCTTAAAAAAATAAAAGAAAAAGAATAACCTACTCCATGCTTAATTGCAGATATGATACTGCAATAAGGATCAATACACTGGGTGCCTTGAATATTCTTAAGTTTTCCAAACAGTGCTCAAACGTAAATATGCTTCTCCATATTAGCACAGGTCAGCTCCATATTATTTAACCAATTTTCCTAATCATGAATTTGGGCGTATTGACTTTAGCATAAAGACTGTTACGCGGCGCCTTCCTGAGGTTCCTTGGAAGGGCGTCGTAAGGCTAAGCAACCGATGTCAGTGTGGTTGCTATGCGCCAACTGAGGCCCTCGCCGTACGCTAGACTAGATTGTCAGTGCCGTACGGGAAAGCCAATGTCGTGAGCAATTGAGCAGCGGAAAATGAGCAACTGATGATTGTATTGATGATGATGAAAGTTATTACAAGATGAAATGCGGTGTCGGGGGGGGAGAGACACCAGTACAGAGAATTATTTGAATGCTTGAATGTTTGAATGCTTTGGTCC